ATTCTAGTCACCTGTTAAAGAATGAAGTGGTTAGATCTATATATATATATATTCAAGAGTCTATCCTAAATTGAGGTAAATTTTATGGCCTTCCAAATACTGTTTCGATCCCTAACATTACTGAAGAGACATTAATTGTCGAAATCCGGATATGGTGTACTAATTTTTGCACCTTTTGTTTGCGGTATACCATCTTTTCCGCAAGTTTATTGTTTTCTGTTTGGTATTAGATATTAATTTTTAAAGATCCATTTTGTTACATCTTGTGATCCGTTTATTTGGCAATCGCCAATGGCAGTCAGCAGGGTTTAAGAACATCAGTTGTTCGACCTGTTAGTCAAATGCGTTTTGTTGAAATATACTTTTTCACTTTTTTGGTCTTTTGGAAAATGTTGTTTGTGCTGTATTTAGACCCCTCTACCAAGAAATTTGTTTTGCATGCACATGTATAAAAATTGAGGTTTTTATCCAACGCAATCATAGGTTTGAACGTCGTTTTCAATTTAGACATGTATATATATATATATATATATTTCATGTATATGAATACAAAAACAAATGAAATTTTGTAAGCATATTTATTTTAGCATGTCTTGGGCAAGGATGTTTTGTAGAAGACACAATATGCATTACTCCTTTTGAACTAATATTACGGATTACTTGAGTATTAAAACATCGGTTAAAAGGAACAGCATACTTGACGGTGCTCTAACTTAAGTGACATGTACATATCAATGTTTCGTTTTCCGGAGATTTAAACTGGAGTAAAAGAGGGGCGAAATGTACCGACGGGACATTCAAACTCATAAGTAAAAAATAAACTGACAAAGCCATGGCTAAAAAAGAAACATACAAACAACAGAACACGAAACACGAAACACAACATAGAAAACTAAGGATTGAGAAACACGAACCCCACCAAAAACTGGGGGTGATCTCAGGTGCTCCGGAAGGTTAAGCAGATCCTGCTCCACATGTGGCAGCCGTAGTGTAGCTCATGTTAGTACAAACCCTGTAATAAGTCTAATTCGGTAGGTCACATTCGGAAAAAATCTGTTCCGAAACACATTTTGAGAAAGTTTATTAAGTCTACTTGTCAGATAATAAAATGACACTATTTTGTATAGAAAATAAAAACATCTTTAGGTGTTTTTGCCCATTTCATGACATGTAAAAACAGACTTATATATCTGACAAGTGAACTGAACTAAGTGACAAGTAGATCTAATTAAGTGACAAGTAGACTTATTTAGCTAATTATGACGACTTAACTAAGTGACAAGTAGGGGCAGATATATGCCACCATAGATTCATGTTTTAACAAAATAAAACCTTCGACTGAAAAGTTTGATTACGTTCAATATCTAAAGTATGACTTAAACAGCTGTGACGGACTTTTCGAATTAATGGAAAATATAAAATTGTGAAAATGCTAAATTTTTTAGGGATCCCAAAATTTATTCTTTGGCATTGACACTCAAAATTGTAGACGTTGAAGTTAAATATGTGTACATTGGCTCAAGGTGAGCGGGTAGATTGAGCGCTCACTAAACATGTTTAACTTCGCCTTACTAGTATTTTGCGACCGTCCTAAGTCCAGAACCTTAAGCATTTGTTATTCTTGTATGTTTTATACTTTTGGTTCATCTCTGTGTTTCGAAGTGTAGAGTGGCGTCTATTTTCCTGATTTAGTATAGAGGAGGGTTGTGATCTCGCTAACATGTTTAATCCCGCCACATTATGTATGTATGTGCCTGTCCCAAGTCAGGAGCCTGTAATTCAGTGGTTGTCGTTTGTTGCTATGTTACAAATTTGTTTTTTGTTCATTTTTTGGTTCTTAATTAGGCCGTTAGTTTTCTCGTTTGAATTGTTTTACAGTTGTCATTTCGGGGCCTTTTTTTAGCTGACTATGCGGTATGGGATTTGCTCATTGTTGAAGGCCGTACGGTGACCTATATAGATGTTAATTTTTGTGTCATTTGGTCTCTTGTGAAGAGTTGTGTCATACCAATCACACCACATCTCTTTTTTATATAAGTGTTTCAGGGCCTTCTCAAGCCAGCATATGGGTGTGGGATTTCTCGCTTTATTGAAGACCCACTGGTGGCCTTGGGTTGTTTTGTAAATTTTTGTCGGGTTGTAATCTTTTTGACGATTTCATCGTTTCCACTTTTTATTCTTTTTGCCATCATCTTTTATATCTTTGCTCTATAAGTGAAACAATATTCATGGGAAATTACACTTTTATCCATTCCCGAAAACTGTGGATGCTCGTTTGGTGACAATTTTATGTTGAGTTTACTGTCCCGCTACATTTTCACTCATATTTAATAGATAATACTTGTAAATGTATGGCATGACCATTCGGTATGGAGGCGGGCTAGTGGCTAAAGGATTTCGGGAGAAAAAAAATTAAGTTGATTTGCAAAAGACAAATTGAAAATAAAAATTCTTCTGCTTTTCAAAATGCAGAACAGTTCTAAAAGTAGTTGTGTACAAGAAAGAACTTTAATGTCCATGCTACAAAAATTAACAGTTTTAGCAAAAAGGTTCAAATCGAAAATTCCAACCGCAATACCACCCAACCCCATCCCCTTTTTTACAACGACTAGATCCCATGTTCACCACCTGGTAACAATTAATTTTATGAAACACATGACTGTGTGATTTATTTGGTATAAGAAAGGAAATCAAATATAAAAATAAAAAAGAGAGTATTCAACATACCTGCATGTATAGCTGTATTTTGCATTAAAAATTCTTTTATCATGTTTTCGCCGCAGCGGGGAAATTCCTGAACTATCTCCTGTATTAAGGAATCTAAATCTTCATCCGAAATGTTTGAGACGTTCTTTTTAGTTAAATTACATTGCCGCATTCTCCTATAAACTGTACTCTCAGAAGCTGATAGGAGCTTTGCTATATCAGTAACAGTAAATTGGCATTCAAGAAAAAAGTGTAGAATATCCTCTGGTATCTGAAATATTCGACTACCAGGTGCTCGGCACAAAGTAGAAGATCCATAATTTAAACACTTTAACCGTAAATTCATTATTTTAGAGCTATCGATTAAGCCTAAACTTTGCAATTCAAATTTGGACAATTTTCCGACAATATCTGGTGCTATTTTTTCATCTTTAAAACGCGATACCAACGTGCCTAGGTTTAACTCTTTCAAAATCTCATCCATTTTTCATACGACATAGATACAGAACTGCTTTTTTCGTAGAAGCAGATCGGAATCAGTTCTGACGTAGTGAGTAATCGCTTTAATCGTAATCATGTTCATTGACCATCAGGACGATGAATGCACATCATCATAATGATGTTCTGACATCATATAAAGATGTAAACCGAACCACACCATATGATGTTACATTGTCATAATATAATGACCTTACCACATCATATAACGATGTTAGCACATAACATAAGGATAAGTTCACATCATATAAAGAAGTTTGCACATAATATAAAGACATCTGTACATGATATAAGATAATTTGCACATCATATAAGACCATTTGCACATCATATAAGATAATTTGCACATCATATAATATAATTTGCACATCAGATAATGTCAAATTGTCATCATATAAAGGTGATTGCATATCGTATAAAGGTGATTGCACATCACATAATGCCGTTTCTACATCGTATAAGGAAAGCATCACATAATATAAGGACTCAATCACATAACATAATGGAGAAAGCACATCATATAATGAATTGTGGACATGATATAAAGATGTTTGCACCTCATATAAACGTGTTTGGACAGCATATAAGGACAACTTCACATCATATAATGACAAGTGTACATCATATAAGGACAAGTTCACATCACATAATGACAAGTGTACATCATATAAGGACAAGTGCACATCATATAATGTCATTTGCACATCATATAAGGGTAAAATGACATCATATAATGGCAAATGAACATCATATAATGATAAATGTCATAATAAGACAGTGTCGGCGTTCCATAGGCTTTTCACTCTTAATTTTAGAATTCAAAGAATGTCACGCGATAGAAGTTTGATAAACAGTTGTCATTCTGTAATTAACAATAATAGTGGTGTTCTTTAGCTTTTGGTGCTGTGGATTTACTGTTTTTGTGTCATGGATGGGTACCCAATATCCTCTCTTTTCTATTGTATATCATAACTTAGAGATATAAAGTCCATATGTAAGCACCTGCTGAAATTTTCCTACACAGAAATGGAAAGCTCACAATGTAAAAATGTAATTAAACAATCTCTATTGTGGTAAACGGCCATCATTGTCAATTTTTAGATGCAGGTCAAGATATGAACATCCATGTTAACTTATCAGTCTTTGAATATTATATGTAGTTATCGGTAATAACATTGATTTTGTTTTAAATAAATCAAAACACAACTACATGTAATTACGTATTTCTATACAGTTGTTACACATACAAATAAATGTATGGCCCAACATCCTGTCGATACTAATATTTTGGCATTGCAGAAGGTCAGGATGAAAAATTTGGTCCTGCATTTTTTTTAGTTGTAATCTCTGTCCTGCTTTTTTATTTTTCACTCTATTCGGTCCTGCCTTTTTTTTATTAGTGTATCCTGACTTTGTTCACATAAATTGTCATCCTGCCTTTTTATTTTTTGCCAAGTTGCTCATCCTGCCTTTTTGTTTTTTACTCAAAACTCCTGTCCTGCCTTTTTTTTCTAATTTCATCCTAGCCCCCTCCCCCCCCCCCCCCCCCCTAAACATCAAATGGTAGCTCCCTAACTATACTGTACCGAGCATCATCTTAGCGGAAAGCGAAGGCTAAGGATAATTTAAGCTTCTAGCCTCATTCTTCAGAAGCTGCTGTATACATTCTGGCTCATACAAATAAAGGTCAAAGGTCAGCAAGAAGAAGAACATTATTGGTATCAAAAACATTTACCTATACTAATTTGAAGTCGCTCTTTTTTGTCTAAATGAAAACTTCATTGAATTCATTTTAGGTTGTCAGTATCTGCATGAACAAATTGATCCAACATGTACGAGATACAAACCCTAAACGAAAAGTTACTACTAGCTGTGTGTAAAGGTAAAACGGGGAGTGTGGAAAAACTATTGGAACAGGGAGCAAATGTTAATATTAGAAACAAGGTGAGATTTATTCTATAACTATTGGAACAGGGAGCAAATGTTAATATTAGAAACAAGGTGAGATTTATTCTATAAATTCAGTTGATGTAAGACCTAATCAATGAGCAAAGCCATATTTTATGAAACTGCTATCAAATGGATCAAGAGGGTATCGAAAGGCAAGATTGGCAGGTGTTTAATATAATTTGGCAATAAAGACAAACCAAATTTGCAACCCCTTTCAGGGAAATTGATCTGCCCACACATATAGTAAGACTTGATATTATGAAGTATAGGTGGTATGTAAAAGATTTATCTTGATTTTTATAAGAACACTTATGGTTTGATTATTTTCAGAAAGATGGGATGACACCATTACTCAAGGCATGTCAAAGAAGAAACTATACCATGCAGAAGATTTTGTTGTCTAAAGGTGCTAACCCAAAACTTAAAGACAAGGTGTGTACCATACCTAGATCTTCAAATCATATACAATAAAACACGTTCTTATATTATCAGTACTGTTGGATTACAGCTGCTATAATATGTTCCAATGCTGAACTATGGTTCCAACTCCTTCAGGGAAAGTTGACCTTAGGTGGATTTGGCTCTTCTTTATATGTCCTTTTTGGTCATAGTGGTAAATCCAGAAAAACGCTGCGAACGTAACTAACTTATAACGTGTTATTTTCACTTGATGTCCATAAAATGTTCCTACATCAATCGCCTTTATTTTGTTCATAGTGAGCTAATCTTGACAAAACTCATTGATTTGTAACCACTCAATATATCTTTATTTACTTAAGATCAACCAAATATAAGTAAGGAGTCGAAAATTAATTTTTTTATCTAATATTTTTGTCAATGGTAGGTCAACTTAAGATAAAAATCTAACTGTAGTAATCTTATGAATTCATAAAACAAACATGTAGTTAAATATTTAAAGGAAAGAGACGAAGGTACAATTCATAATCCCGATATTCTGTATATATCAAAACAAAAGGTAAACATTTTGACAGACCGTATGATTGGTTGAGACAAGTGTCAAATTGGTTAAGCAGTTTCAGAAAACAAGATATTTGCAAAACCAGTTACGACGCCAAATAAAAGACTAACAACGAATACATAAATCGATAATACTTTCCACACTGACCTTCTGAAAAAAGCTTATGAAGCAACTAAGCAAACAGAATTTGTAGCAGTCGAATTTATGATGAAATGGAGCAAATAAACGTTGATTAACGTTATAATAATAAATCTTGATTGTTTTTTGAAAAGTAAAAAGCACATTTAGTTTTTGGAATTTTTGTTTTAAATGGTACCCAACTTCTTAAATGGCAAGACCTTCCAACTGTCAAGTCGTGTGATGACTCTTGAGTAGATAAAACGCGCTTCTGGAGTACAAACATTATTAGCCTAGTACCTTTCAGGATTTTTTTATTCGTTTATGCGAACATCATCTACCAAATTTTTGTATGTTTTTATAGTTGGGTCTCAGTTGCTTACACTACGTGGCAGAAGCTGGAGATGCAGAAAGTTTGAAAATGTTATTAGCCTACCAAGCATCCATACAGTCTAAAGATGTCGTAAGTACAGAATGTTGTTAGCCTATCAAGCAACGAAACAGTCTAAGGATGTCGTAAGTACAGAATGTTGTTATAGTCTACCAAGCATCAATGGTCTAAGGATGTCGTAAATACAATATGTGGTTAGCCTACCAAGCATCAGTAGTCTAAGTATGTCGTAAGTACAGAAGGTTGTTAGCCTATCAAACATCAAAACAGTCCAAAGATGTCGTAAGTAAAGAAAGTTGTTAGCCTATCAATCATCAATACAATCTAAAGATGTCTTAAGTACAGAATATTGTTAGACTATCAAGCATCAATAGTCGAAGAATGTCGTAAGTACAAAATGTTGTTAGCCTACCAAGCATCAATAGTCTAAGGATGTTGCAAGTACATAATGTGGTTAGCCTACCAAGCATCGATACAGTCTAAAGATGTCGTAAGTACAGAATGTTGTTAGTCAACCAAGCATCAATAGTCTAAGGATGTCGTAATTAAAGAATGGTGTTAGCCTACTAAGCATCGATACAGTCTAAAGATGTCGTAAGTACAGAATGTTGTTAGTCTACCAAGCATCAATAGTCTAAGGATGTCGTAATTAAAGAATGTTGTTAGCCTACTAAGCATCGATACAGTCTAAGGATGTCGTAAGTACACAATGTTGTTAGCCTACCAAGCATCGATACAGTCTAAGGATGTCGTAAGTACAGAATGTTGTTAGTCTACCAAGCATCAATAGTCTAAGGATGTCGTAATTAAAGAATGGTGTTATCCTACCAAGCATCGATACAGTCTAAGGATGTCGTAAGTACAGAATGTTGTTAGTCAACCAAGCATCAATAATCTAAGGATGTCGTAATTAAAGAATGGTGTTAGCCTACTAAGCATCGATACAGTCTAAGGATGTCGTAAGTACAGAATGTTGTTAGCCTACCAAGCATCAATAGTCTAAGGATGTCGTAATTAAAGAATGGTGTTAGCCTACTAAGCATCGATACAGTCTAAGGATGTCGTAAGTACAGAATGTTGTTAGTCTACCAAGCATCAATAGTCTTAGGATGTCGTAAGTAAGATCACAAGGTTGTTAGTCTACCAAGCGCCGATACAGTCTAAAGATGTCGTAAGTACAGAATGTTGTTAGCCTATCAAGCAACGAAACAGTCTAAGGATGTCGTAAGTACAGAATGTTGTTATAGTCTACCAAGCATCAATGGTCTAAGGATGTCGTAAATACAATATGTGGTTAGCCTACCAAGCATCAGTAGTCTAAGTATGTCGTAAGTACAGAAGGTTGTTAGCCTATCAAACATCAAAACAGTCCAAAGATGTCGTAAGTAAAGAAAGTTGTTAGCCTATCAATCATCAATACAATCTAAAGATGTCTTAAGTACAGAATATTGTTAGACTATCAAGCATCAATAGTCGAAGAATGTCGTAAGTACAAAATGTTGTTAGCCTACCAAGCATCAATAGTCTAAGGATGTTGCAAGTACATAATGTGGTTAGCCTACCAAGCATCGATACAGTCTAAAGATGTCGTAAGTACAGAATGTTGTTAGTCAACCAAGCATCAATAGTCTAAGGATGTCGTAATTAAAGAATGGTGTTAGCCTACTAAGCATCGATACAGTCTAAAGATGTCGTAAGTACAGAATGTTGTTAGTCTACCAAGCATCAATAGTCTAAGGATGTCGTAATTAAAGAATGTTGTTAGCCTACTAAGCATCGATACAGTCTAAGGATGTCGTAAGTACACAATGTTGTTAGCCTACCAAGCATCGATACAGTCTAAGGATGTCGTAAGTACAGAATGTTGTTAGTCTACCAAGCATCAATAGTCTAAGGATGTCGTAATTAAAGAATGGTGTTATCCTACCAAGCATCGATACAGTCTAAGGATGTCGTAAGTACAGAATGTTGTTAGTCAACCAAGCATCAATAATCTAAGGATGTCGTAATTAAAGAATGGTGTTAGCCTACTAAGCATCGATACAGTCTAAGGATGTCGTAAGTACAGAATGTTGTTAGCCTACCAAGCATCAATAGTCTAAGGATGTCGTAATTAAAGAATGGTGTTAGCCTACTAAGCATCGATACAGTCTAAGGATGTCGTAAGTACAGAATGTTGTTAGTCTACCAAGCATCAATAGTCTTAGGATGTCGTAAGTAAGATCACAAGGTTGTTAGTCTACCAAGCGCCGATACAGTCTAAGGATCTAACGGTGTTGTTTTCTTTTCGACGTGTACATCATAATTTATTTTATTCATATCAAAACAGTTTCTTTACATATTTTGTTTTAATTCAATACATGTATTAGTTGTTATTGCAAAGTTTAAAAAAATCCATTTTTTGTTTATAGTCCAAAAACGTTTAAATACCTTAGAATAATAACCAAATAAAATTGAGAATGGAAATGGGGAATGTGTCAAAGAGACAACAACCCGACCATAGAACAGACAACAGCAGAAGGTCACCAACAGGTCTTCAATGCAGCGACTAGTTACAATGTAGTTTGTTATCCTTAAAACAGTATAATGGTAAAATAGAGGAAAGATTAAAGTTTATCTTTTAAATTGTAGAATGATTGTGCTCCATTACACTATGCTGCTGATCGGAACAAACTAAATGCTGTCGATACTCTGGTATTCTGTGGCGCTAACGCTTTCGAGAAAAATAAGGTGAGCTTATTGATAAGTTAGTTCCAGGGTCTAAAACTATGGACATCACTTTTGATTTCAAATTGTAAATTATTAGTATGGAATTTTTTTTCTGAAATTAATGAATATTAGCTAGCTTAAAAAATAAATTATAAATTATATTTACTTGTCAATGAAAATATCCACATGTACTTTGACCAATCTTTCAGTAATATGCTTTATACCGGAACAAGGAAATTTTTTTAATTTGATATAATTGGGGGACTTAAATCCAATGAATTCACTATAAATGAATTGTAATTTAAATTTACCAACTTTGCGATGGCACAAAACGAATACATCAAATTTGGTAAAGAGGAAGAGGGAAGAAAACTTGATAAATCGGGGACAAATGGATGACGCCATAAATTGTTTTTGAATAACTACACCGCTTTTGTTTAGGTATACATATTATTTGTTCATCTCTTCGTATCTGTCTTTCTAGAAAGGTTTTACGCCTTTGAAATCTGCAAATAATCCAGAGGTACAGCAAATTTTGAAAGATTCTGAATATACATTACTTGGAGTAAAAAATGGGTGAGTTTTCCACAATATCAATGATCTTATCAGTGTTCAAATAGAAGAATGCTTACCAAATTTATTCAATAATTTGAAAAAATTATTATGATATATACTCAAGATATTTGTAAGCTATTCACAAAATATAGAATAATTCTTGTTTTTTGTTTTCAATAATTGAGCATCGTATAGGTCAAAGCAATATGAAACACAGGTTGACACAATATAATTTGGTTTTTTTTTTCTAAAAAGTAACAAAACTCTTTTGTGGGGGGTTGGAGGGAATCATAGCAAAATGATGCGAATTATCATATATACAAAAACTATCATTGCTTCAGAAGTTAACTCCCTGGAAAATGCATCAATTCCTTTCAGAAAAAATATCCTTCACATAAACTTATTCGTAAGGTTATCAATTTAGCGCTGTTGTACAATCTTTTAAATATTGTCTTAATCGGTAATAACAACATTGATTTTGTTTTTAATAAATTAAAACATAACTAAATATGTATTGCTATACTACAGTTATAAAAACGTATGGTCCTACAATGTACATGGGGTCGACGGACTGTGTACTTTTATTTTAGCATTACACAAGGTCCAGCTTTTCTCAGACTGTTTATGGTATTTTTACATCCATTGAATGTATACTTTTATCCTGGTAAATACTTTTTATTAATTGGCCTAGAAATCGCTTTCAGTAACTGTAAGTTTTTTGAATTTCTTTGGTATTTGTTGTGTGCTTCGTGTAGATCTCAGGAGTCAGGACCTTTCCAACTGATTTTAAGAGATTGTTCGTATGTGGTGTTGTCAAAGGAAAATGGAGGATCGAACGTTGACAAACATGCTTAAACCCGCCACATTCTTTATGTGTCTGTCCCAAGTTAGTACCCTGTAATTCTGAATTTCAGTGGGTGTTGCTGGTTGCTGTCTTTCATATTTGTTTTTAGTTTATCATCTTAGTATAAATCAAGCCGTTGCTTATCTTTTCAATTTTTTCGTGTGTTTTGATTAGTCGTCCTTTTTTAATACCTATGAGAAGTTAACACCTCCCGAAACGAAAGGCGTCTGCGCAATGCTAGGCGGTGTTGCCGTAGAAGCTAGAAGTGAAAAAGTAGAGGTTCCAGCTCCGATCGGGGAGGAAGTAAAGAATAAGATCTACTCTTTTGTGTTCATTTTCTAGGCATTTTATGTATATACTATAGTACATACATTTTTTTTTATTACAGAGATATACATATACAGTGTATTGAATTAGAACCCAATAAGACATATTGGTTAGAGAAAGCGGATCTTACAGTACATACACCGACTACATTTCCATTAAAATCCCTTAGTTTCATATGTCGCCGTGTTCGTCCAGAATTCTGCCATCCGGTATTGAAACCTTATCAGAAAGAGCTTCTTATCAGTGATACATTTGAGTTCCTTACATCTGAGACAAGCACAAAAGCTAAAGTTTTACTAGAAGTACCTCTATATGATTTCCCGGATCCTTTTGAAGATATTTTTATGAAAACCGACACTTGTCCAACAATAAAAGAAAGCATGAGGCAACTTGATATAAAACGTTTAAAAGATGAGGTAAGATTACTTATTAGAGAATGCATGGAAAGGGATGAATATGAGAAAAGAATGCTTATCAAATGATGTTGAAAGAAGGCTGGTTAAATGATGAGTAAAGTAACATACATGTCAGAAGATTAGGTAAGAATGCTAGTCGAATAAGTGTGGAAGGTTAAAATAAATGTCAAAAGATATATAGTTTTGAATGATGAAGAAAAAATACTTGTTTAAACATAAGGTATGAATATTTGTCAGAAGATGAGCAAAAATAAGTAGGTAAGAATACTTGCACGAATGAAAAAGGTCTACTGGAATAACAGGACGAGATAATAATACATTTAAAGAATACTTGTCAAAAGATGAAAAAATACTTGTAAAAAGGTGAGGTTAGAATACTTGTCAACGAGGAAGACAAAATACTGTCAAAATATGAAGTGACAAAACTTGTCAACAGAAGAGAGGAAAAATTGTCAAAAGAAGTGGGGAAAGACTTGTCAAAAGAAGAGGGGGAAAACTTGTCAAAAGAAAAGGGGGGAAACTTGTCAAAAGAGGAGGGGAAAGAAGAGTTATCAATTCTTATCAAAAGAAGAGCGAGACAAACTTATCAGGACAGTAATGAGGTATTACATTTTGTTTTATTTTAGAGGACGCCTGGTCGTTTGAAATGGATTTGTACTACAGAGGTAGATATAACACATGTCAGGTCCTTCAATCTAATAGCCTTCCCTAGAAAGGAGACCTTTCAGATTGGTCGATCTGGAGCAGAACTGTCATCGTCTGTGGACAAGTTTATTAAGATTTCTATTTTGGAAAACACGTTCGATGACCCAAAGGGTAAAGTATCACTAGAGGTATGTGATATATGTGGCTTAAATAATGTAACATTAGATAGGTTACTTTAACTCAGTTTAAATATACATTGAAATTGTGCTAGAATACATGATCGACAAAGACGTTGGGTATAGATTTTGTTTTTATTGAACATTTTGAACAATTCTTATTTTTTTTTCATTGAACAAAAATGGTGTTTCTAGCTGTTTCTTTGATATATTGGCTATTTTTTTTTTTCTTATTCACATTTTTCAAATACCTTTTTCTCAATATTTGATTGTTTCAACAAATATTTCACTAATCGAAGATAACAATACCGGAAATTGACATCTTAGCCTAATAAAAGGAAAATTTACTTCATAACTGATATTATCGGCATCATAAGTTAAGATTCACCCTGGATATATTGAGTTTGAATTACATATTATGTCAGACATTATCCAATGCAGAACGCTTACGACAATCAAGTTTACACAATGTTGAATAAAAGCAGTAGTATGTCTGATAATATGGCAGGGAATATCCGCCATAATTATACATGTCTTAATTTGTAAAATGCAATTTCTTAATTTGTAACATGCAATTTCTCAATTTGTAAAATGTATTTTCTTAATTTGTAACATGTATTTTTTTGTCATTGTTATTGTTACCGCTGCCAGCCAATGAGAAGTTCCGTTTCTCAAGAAAAACAACAATTAAGTTAAAGATCAACAAGTTACAAATCAAGAAGTTTTACAAATCAAGAAGTTTTACAAATCAAGAATGAAATAGTTCCAAAATATTCCGCACGAGGTCGCTGTGGATCCATGTCAACTCGTACCTTAGCCAACTCGTACTCAACCAACACATATTTCTACCAACTCGTACCCAATATCTTATTATTTATATGCATTGAAGTTGTTATGTTCTTTTATATGATTTAGAAACCTACAAATAAAACAAAGTACAACTTTATTGATTGGTAATCTGATGCAATTTGTTTCAAATCAGAAATATTTAAAGTTAATCATTCGTCTTAGACAATCAGCTCTATATTCCTGGCACTGTATTATACGAATCTAGGACAGAGCGTACCAGCTCTTCGTCAACAAATCATGACACGACCCCAAAAGGATCTAGTTATAACCCACCTACAAAAAGACAGCGACAGGGGCTGTCCCCTCATCCGACGAACGCAAATGCTCCACCGACTTCTGGCAGATAGGGGCCCGTATAAAAAGAAATTGATCAGTATAATGGAACTGTAAATAGTGAATATAAATTGAACAACGATAGCTTAACGTTTTGTATCTTGAATTGTTGTGGGCTGAAGAAAAGACTGCTTTGTCCGGATTTCTTTGACATTTTGCTTGGACATGATATCTTATTGTTGAAACGATGTTAACTGACGTAGATAATTTAAACCTACCAGACGATTATATTTATGTTTTTGGACCATGTTTAATTCCTGTGCTGGATTTATCGCTTCAAAAAGATTCGAAATGCCCTCATATATAAACTTACTAGAAATATCTTTTTGAACACATGTTCAACGCAAAAATCAGTAAAAAAATCAGTAAAAAAAGCTCCATAGAATAAGAGAGAAGAATATTGTTTACTGATTTTTGCGTTGAACATGTGTTCAACAAGATTTTTCTAGTTAGTTTATATAATTATAAAGGCCTTTTTAAAGCGATAAATCTAGCACAGGAATAAAATATAGTCCACAAGTTTTTACATTTACATTTATTTAGATACATAAATGTAAGATCATACATTTCGCCCTTATCCTCCCTCCCACAGCTTGGCTTTTACAAAGTTAATAAGTAAAACTCGGACTTTGGTGCAGCATTTATTCCGAAATCTGTGTTTTCATGAACCCTTCTATGTTTACTTTTCATTTAAACAACCCCATTCTATTTTTGTAGGTCCTAGCCTATTATTCACTAATCACGCGCGAATCCAACCATTTTTAAAAGGGGGTTTAAACACATGCAAGTCATATAAAAAGGGGGGTTCCAACCCTATGTCCCCATACAAAATCATTAGTTGTCAAAAAAATAGGGGGGGTTCAACCCCCGGACCCTCCACGACCCCGGCCACAGACTACAATGATCACTGATAAGAACATTGTATGATTATAATTATTCAACATGTATATGAAATAAATTATCGTTTAAACAATTTCATAAAATCAATTACTTCTAAGGTCGAATGACTAACTTTAGATATTTTTGATTTGAAAACAAATTGCATCAGATTACCAATCAATAAAGTTGTACTTTAATGTATTTTGTATATTATATAAAAGAACTTGAAAACTTTAATGCTTATTAATAATTAAATATTGGATACGAGTTGGTAGAAGTACGAGTTGGTAAAAGTACGAGTTGGCAGAAGTACGAGTTGGTAAATATTGGGTACAAGTTGGTTGAGTACAAGTTGGCTAAGGTACGAGTTGACATGGAACCACAGCGACCTCGTGCGGAATATTGTGGAACTATTTCATTCTTGATTTGTAAAACTTCTTGATTTGTAACTTGTAGTTTTCCTTGAGAAACGGAACTTCTCATTGACTGGCACATTCTCCGAAAACGTGACTCAAACAAAGAAATTACGTTTCACAAATTAAGAAATGAACAATTTTATTTAACGAACGAAGAAAATACGTTGACAAATTAAGAAATTGCCGGCATTTACACATTAAAAAGTTACATTTCACAAATCAAGAATTGTAAAAATTCATGTAACGGATGGAAAAATCCTTGTTACAAATTAAGAAATTACATGTTACAAATTAAGAAATTGCATGTTACAAATTAAGAAATTGCATTTTACAAATTAAGACATGTATAATTATGGCGGATATTCCCCTCCATATGATAATGTACCTGAGCTAACGTAGAAATTAAAGAAAGGTAAAGAATAATTTAAAATAAATGTTTTAGAAAAAAGATATTGGTAGCTGCACTAAAGATAAAATTCAGTCAAATAGGGTTATCTTTTATCAAGGGTTGTTTGTTACACATATAAATTTCTGAAGGGTGGATGGTATCAGAAGTCCATTACTAGGGACATGGACTTCTGATGGTATGATTGATATACAAGGTTAATGAATGAAAATTTTCTTGTCAGACTAACCCAGTTATAGTAATATGTTTGAATTGAGATTTCTTCTTTAAAAACATTTGCATTTCGTTTCCATTAAAATGTTGTTATGTTAACTTAATGTGCACTTATATATAATAGTGTAGTTAATATAGATAATCTTTACTTACCATAAACCTGATAAGGTTTCATGTTGACAAACTACTGTGTACGAGTAATATTATATATTGAAGTAATTCATTCATGAAGAAATGATTTGTTTACCTGTCTATTTATACCTGTGAGGAAGTGTAAAGGAATGTCAGGCTCCCATCGACAACATTATCTAATAACTTATCTATAGAACAGATGGTTACTTAATTGGATTTTGATATTTCATAACAAAGTGAAACTTTTATGTTGTGAAATATTATCTATTGACGTGTATAACATGAAAAATGTAAATAAGTATGTAAATGTATGTTTTGTTATTGTATACCCTCCCCTTTTTGAGATTTATTTACATACGAAAGTAAATTTCATATTATTGTGTAACCTTGTGTTTTTTTGGTGTTTTTTTTCTAATTTTCTCACTTTTTCTATTCTCATAAAAAATCCTAGTGTTTTATTTTTTATTCATAGTTTGTCCCTAATATTAAATGGGGAGGGGGAGATAATCAAGTACCAAATTGGGTACATAATAATCGAAAAGTTTTGTTTTATTAACTTTATAGTTTAACTAATATGAACATGATTTTAGTGGGTCCATAATTGATTGCGTGTGGCCCATATATTTTTGTTGTATGTATGCGTGTTAGTCCGTAGGTCCTTTTACATTAGTTATATGTCTGAAGGATATAAATATACTGACCTTGGTATGGCCAATTTAGGTAAATAGACACTAGTACTGGGGAGTGTTTTATTGGTCTCTTCTGTACATCTCCAGAATGTCTTCTGGTGAAGAGTCCAAAGAAATGAATCTGGACCTCTTCTGGAGATATTCTGTAGAAGCAATAGAGCAAAAAATCAATTTTCCGTCGGATATAGCAGATTTTATTTTATTTTTTATGTTGGGTGACATAAATAAAGTTTACGATGATTTATTAGAAAATTAACATACGTCAATTCAGTCGGTAGACATGGCTGTAATAATGTGCTCTATTTAACTTTTTGTATTGATGTAATTATGCAATAAGTGAAAAAACAAAGTAAATTATTTGGAAGAAATCGATGTATTCGTCACATTTTTTCTTTATGCTTTCCTAACTCAATTTTGGTAAACAAATCTGGCTTAAAGCTCCGACCATTTGATTTTCAGTAATAATCTTAAAACTGTACAAAAATTTGTCAATGTTTTTCTGGTATATGCTCGAAAAGGACATTTTGTCTATCAAACAATTTTGAAGTAACTAAACTGGATAATTTTTGTATATAAAAGATATCGCAGAGTTCTCAAAATATGTTTGCCTAACTATTATTTCAATTGCAAAACCTCCAGACCACCACAAGGTATACAAGGTCACGGTGTTTCTCAGACTGTTTATGACTAAATCCGTTGGTTGTGTACTGATTGATACTTTAGTCTGGGAGAACAAGATTTATTTCAGTGTTACTTGTATTTAGCTTTGAACAAACTTTCCTTAACTGCAAATACTCTTATTTCGGTTCTTTGTGTCTATTGTCTTAATGTTAGTTGTTTTTGTGTCTTGTACCGATCTTTTGTTCCAGTTTAGGAGAGGGGTGAGCGCTCACAAACATGTTTAACCCTGACATATTCATTTATGTGCCTGTCCTAAATCAGGAGCCTGTAGTTCTGTCGACTCATATTTGATTTTTTGTAAACTGTTTTATTATATATAATTAGGCCGTTAGTTTTTTGTTTAAATTGTTTCACATTTTTCATGTCGGTGCCTTTTATAGCCAACTATACGGTGTGTGTTTTTGTCATTATTGAAGGCCGTACGGTTGCCTATAATTGCTTACATCCACTTGATTTGAACTTGGGTGGATAGTTGCCTAATTGGCAATAATACTACATCTCCTTATTTTCATATTATATACCTGACTTTGAAACTCGTGTTTTCCTGCACATGCATGAAATATTTGTCATTGGACGTTTAAAATAAGAAATCAACGATCAATCAAACTTGATTAAACTTGTGTTAAATAAGGTAAAACCCATTTGATATTTTTGTTTTGGGTGGGGTGGGAGACAAGAGGATTTTAAATATGAATATGATGGTCAGGTAAGAGCTGACAAAATAGGCGTGATTAGCGACAGATTTAAATGAATAATAAATCCGCAAAAAATCCTCCTGCCCCCTCCCCCTCCCCAGAATATCGAATAGTCGTCCCTTTACTGTTATTGTCCGTGTAGTTCTTATATTCATCCAGCCTATTGTTCCTACAGGGATGTCCTACTAAGGCTGCCATACCATAAAAACGTTCATCACACAGCTTACATTCTATTATATCTGCATTCATAAATTTATTAATGTCATTTAGACTAAGCGACGCCATGTTTGTTATGTGCCTCTGCCGTCTAAACTACCTATTTAAAAGAAAGAGGGTGAAGAGATCCAGAAGATCTTCCCAATGCAAAAAAAAAAAAACAGAAATGGACCTCTTCTGGCTCACTACCGAAGAACAAAAAAACACGCCCCTGTTGATACACTATAATATGTTTTTTCAATATTACTAAAATAGTTGAAAATGGACCTCTTCTGGCTCACTACCGAAGAACAAAAAAACACGCCCCTGTTGATACACTATAATATGTTTTTTCAATATTACTAAAATAGTTGTGAATGAATTAGCCTTTTAAAATCTAATTTGAAAAAAAATAAGTCTATTTACTTGTTTAAGAGAAATATGAGTCCTACTTTTCGGTATTTTATATATATTTTAGGGGAAGGCGTACCATTCAACCACTTTCAAACACAAAAAAAAAATTCAAAAAGTATTTGCAAGCATTTCGTATTTTCCACAATATCGAACATTTTTACAAAAGTTGCCTCCCCTGGCGAATCAAATCTTATTTGATTTGTAAATTATTATAATCTTAGATGACTTTTAGAGAGAAAGAAAAGGTAGTAATATGAAGAAATTGTTCATAAATCTTATTAGGTTTAAACAACTTTTGGTTCTGTCTAAAAAAAGATGCAATACCGACTAAAATTAGAAGCAAAATAAAAATGATAACCGCGCTTTAAATGTTTAGCTCTACGCTCGATTTAATTGAGGTTTGAGCGCTCGCAAACATGTTTAACCTCGCCCCATTGTGTATGTGCATGTACCCAGTCAGTAGCCGATAACTCGGTGGTTTGCTGTCTGTCATTATTGTTTTCATTTAATGTTTTGAGCATAATTCAGGCCGTCGATTTTTCTCGTCTGAATTATTCTACATTTTTTAATGTTGGTGCCTTTTTTAGCTGACTACGCTGTGTGGGTTTTACTCATTGTTGAAGGCCGTACGATGACTTATAGTTGCTTACATCTCCGGTGGATAGTTGTCTAATTGTCAATTATAGAAATAACCACATTATCTTTCTATCTTTATATTAACAAAGTCTTTCCTGCCTTCACACTCAGGTGATTACTGGTCTTACTCTGTTTTCTCTCTCAAAGATCTTTATTGTTTTCCCAAGTTTAAACAAAGCTTTTGTTTTGAAGGTTATCCCGACTCCTGTTTACCACCCTCAGCATATCGATTCTATAATATCTATTGGACATTTCTATGATCTGACCCATGACAAGATAGAACAACCTCGCAAGACAGTCAACCTCCGTGTTCCGCTGCCTCAGGACTATGAGAATGATGGCGATCTGTACCTCCTGGGAGCTGATGTTGATCCAGAATACTTCTTAGATCAAGACTTCGGTGAAAAGCAAGATATGGACCATTGGGAAGTTATCAGTGTCAATCCAAAGACCACTAGAGGTTGTGTGAATATACCAGTTGAACATTTTTCTATGTGAGTTTCAATGTTATAAGCAAAAGTGCATTCAACTATCCGATTTATATTTTAGAAAATAAATAGTCTTGAATCGAGCAAAGACATCTGACTCAAATGTGAAATGAATATTCTTCCACAACCAAGTATTAGCATTAAATACTTGAGAAAGTTTAAGATTTTATGTATTCAGGTAATTTGATTTATGTCAGATAGGCAGATTCTGGGTATATAAACACAACCCATCCGGTACCCGTTTTATCAAAATGAAAAACTATTAAAGACGAATCCGATAATTTATTTTCAGTATAAACGGTAAAGTGTTTTAAGTATTTCGTACGCCAGACGGGCGTTTCGTCTACAAAAGACTTATATCAGTGACGCTCGAATAAAAAAAGTTTAAAAAAAGAAGGACCCTCATTCGTCATGTTACTTGCAAATAGTTGAAATATACCTTTCAATCGTAAAATAATATGTTCTACACATGACCCCTTTCACCACCATCAGTGTGCATGCATCTAATACTGGAGATTATAGTATCGAGACACTTTAACTGAATCATAGTGTAAGGTGAACAAATAGAAATACCAGCTGATTGGCGTTTCCTCCCATAGTATTGCAATATAGTGCTAGTAAATACAGTAGAATGTTAATGGACAAACCATTTAGTTGAAGTATGATACTAGTATATCTTAGTCATGTTGGAAAACAACAGTCAACCATTTCCTCAGATAGCACTCCCCTGTAGGTGATGATTACCGGGAATCTGGAGTACAATTCAATTTGACAGAAACCAATCAGTACAAGATAACATAAAATAAAAATTCAGTGTGTTTTGTTTATTTTCTTAATTCAATCCTACATCTTTTTCATATTCTTCGGAAATGACGTTTATACTTTTTTATCATTGTCATTAGATATGTGGCTAGTGAAGCAAAAAGGAACAAATCAAAAGAAACAGTAATAAGAGAAACATCAGAACTGTGTAGGAGGGCATCACAGCGAAAAACTTTTACCGTCTTCTTAGTATTGGTGAAACCAGTAGGTGAAACTGTATACCACGTTATTATTGAATGTACAACTAAGAGGAAAAAAGACGACAGAATGAATTTCTGGATAAACAAAAACTACTTAGATCAGAAGCCAAGTTACTCGGGGGAGTTTGAAAGTATTCCAGGCACCAAATATATGTTAAGACTTAGTGGTAATGTTAAGACTGTGTCTGGCTTCCCCAAAACAAGACTTGAATTTCATCCCAAAAGAGAAAACTGTCAACAATTCCAAGTGACTATGTCAGACTGTAATGCTTTTAACGCGGCCTCGGTTGATATTTACGAAGTAAAAGATACAGAAGACGGGAAAGAGGAAGAGGAGGGTTTAGTATCAATGTCATTCCGATTGACAGGAACACCATTCGTTGAAGATTTAGAACCTGTTAACGATGAAACCTTTCCAGGTAGGTAATGATGAAGTGATACATGTAAACATTAAATATTTACAAAAACTCATTTTATTAATACACGTAAATTTCTTACATACTTACAGAATCTTATAATGAATGTCTTTGTGTGATTCATGTTTACCCGTGGTTAAATAAACATCGTAAATTTGTTATTCCCTATTCCCCCAGTTTTTTGCATTATACTTTTTTTGCTTAATATGATATTTGTGATTTTGTTTCTGCGTTATATTGGTGTGGGTTTTTCTCATTGTTGAAGGCCGCATGGTGACCTATGGTTACAAACATCTGCGTTTTTTGGTCTGACAATCATACCACATCTCCTTGTTTTTATCTAAAAACGGCAATATCATGTATTTATAACAATACATTAGATTGAAACATAAGCTTGTTAACATAAGTTGAAGAGTTCAAATTGGTTGAATTACTTAAAAATTATAGAACACGATGTTTGGAGAAGTGTAAAACAATGCGATTTTCTTCTGCAAACAAAAGTCCATTACTGGAAATTACAAGTTATTTTTTGTGTTAAATTCAGGTTTCACTACAGACAGTTTGTTACGACAACTTTCTAAAAATCTTGAGAACGAATGGATCAAAGTAGCAGTTCTTTTAGGCTTGTCGTTTCGTACTGTGGAGAATTTCCGAACAAATAGTAAACTTTCTGATCCTGACAAAAGATTCAAGGTGAGGAAACTATAGTATATTAAATAAGAGCAGATAATGAATAGAGTAAAAAAGAATGACCCACTGCATAAATGAAACTACATAAAACCAATTACAAAAATAAACTGAACAAATATTAACATACGAACACTGAAGCAAAAAAAAAAACACACCACTCATCCTACCCTCGTATTTGCACCATTTGTCGAAGTTCCATTTGTTTATTTCTGACTTTAGTATCATTACATATATATAAGACTTGTTTCTCAAATCAATCAGTTTCAGAGAATAGGTTCATTTTCCATCTAATTTTTTTTAGATATGCATTTTTGAAGCCTTCCTAGAAATACATTATTACTAATATCATCAAGTCTCAAAGTTTTTTTCCAGTAGAAAACATGGGGAAAAAAAGAATTTTCCCATTTTTCCCGTTTTTAGTATGAATTGTTTCAGCATCAAAGAACACATTCCAGTATATTATGGAAGACTTAAGTTGCCCTCTAGATGTATTCATGGCTATTTGTTTCCTTTAGTCGCTGTCTAACTGATACCTTTATTCACAAATTTGAAAGCTTTTACACTAAGAAATCTTGAACTATCGTCGTTTTTACTCCGCAAATTGTATAAGAAATAAAACGCTATCCTCATAATCCGCCCTTTTCAACAAAAAATGCTGTTTTTTCCCAAAAATCTTTGACGAAACATCATCTAAAAACTATGTCTATATTTGCAGCTTTCTTACATTTATATATTGGATTCATTTAACATCTACACAAATTGTCTTGTAAAAATGTGCTGTTTTGCCAATTACGTACTATTTCCGTTGAATAGGTTTTACAACTATGGAGAGATACTAGTAAACATAGAGTAGATTACGGAGTTGACGACCTTGTCTCAGCCCTGCAAAGAACTAAAAGAGAGGATTTGGTTCAACAAATACAGAAAGAACTAGAAATATGGTAAGTTACCATTTCAATATTTTTATTTGCAAATCTTATTGTTGGAAGTTTAATGAGAGAACAGATTAAAACTTTTGAAAGCCTCGTTTAATTGAGGACTTAAAATTCCTTTGCTCTTTGATTCTATATTCAATTTGTATTTAAATATTACAGGTTAGAAAAGAATGAAGACCGACAAGATAGGTTTTATAATTGGGCACAGATTAAGTTAACAGGACCATCGCTGCAGTCATCAGATGTTGGTAAGTTGTATAAAACACAACTATTCGAATCAGCCTTGCATAAGAACATAGGAATGTAGGAAACAAATAAAATTAAGAACAACTAGTACACGGTTATCTTAAAATGTGTGGTTAAATAAAAAGGTAGTGTGATCAAGATACCAAAGAGGCAATAAGAAACTTAAGTCCAATAAAAACAACTCCATGAAGACCTTAAACGAAAAGGGTCACTAATTAAACTGGTTTCCATCAGTGTAGCGGTAAACATTTGAAACCCTCAATTAACCATTTTTTACATAACTATTGAAATTTAAAAACATGTAAATTTATATTACAGAACAACCCTCGCCAGTATCTGACCAGATATTTGTGTTACTAATCGATAAGTTTGGTAACGATGGAAACATAAATCAAGTAGGATTACAGATGGGATTGTCAAGACCAGAAAATGACAAAATCTTCAACGATGCTCTTATAACCAACACAGACCATCAACTATTACGGGTAATCTCAACATTAATAAATCTTTGAAATTTTTTTTATATTTCAATGGAAATAACGAACGTAAACACTGTGACTGTTAAAAAAGAACTTTGCCTGTATTTTTAGTTGTTAGTTATGTCTTGAAATGTAAAAGATATTGTGAAAATACTGAAAATCTGAGAATCTGTTAACTTTGTTATTTTTTTAATTTTACTTTGTAAGGCTCTTTATCTTCAACAATACTTTAATTAGCCAAAGTAGAAGTATATTATGCATCGCAACTGTTGTTTCATTCTGGAAATATTTATTTTCGAAACATAATAATATGACATAGTATTGGGAACTTCTGCATTTTAATCAACGATTTTAAATCCTCGTCGAAAATTTCAAAATTACATTGTAAATATTGAAATATGAAGTAAATTCAATTTAGTAATTTGTTTATTGTAATGACTTGCGAATATGTTGTAATGAACATAACACAATTACAAAGTTTGTAGTCAATGTAATACTCGACCTATTGGACCTACAAGTCACATATTTGACAATAGCAGTAAGCTTATACACTCTCACGTACTACCTGTCACTTGATATTTCTCAAAGTATTAATCACAATTTTCATCTACGACAATCTGTTTATGCTTTTCAGATGTTCGTGGCTGCCAGAGAAAAGATAGGCGATATGTTTAAAACATTTTTACAACTGATTCAGTCATTTGAGGTCCTAAATATGAACGATGCCATGAAATGGATATTTGAAACTGCAGATCGATGGTAACATTATATTTACACATTGTCAGTTACATTTGTATTAATTAATCTTTCATTATGTTGTACAAAATCATGGATCGTATTTTAGTTTTTCCGTTTTTTTTTTTGTCATCGAATAAGTGGACAAAGAAGTTGCTCTTACACTCTTCAAGCTTCATCCCTCTTCATTCTCTGTTTCGTAAACCAACTCTTTCTATATATAACTGAAATATGTTTTTTTATAAACATTAGCATTGTAGCTGAAAACGAGAAAGCTGTTGTAGAATAGAATTCATTTTGTTGTGCAATATATTCCCATAAATTGAACCTGAAGCTTTTTACTTTTGATAGGATATCAAGTACAGAGAAGGACAAAAATCCAGTTCCTTGGAGACAGGAAATTATCAATTATCTGCACAAGTCTAGTAGTCAGGATGATCTCGATAAAGAGGGTGACTACAGTCAGGAGAAGGAACAGGGTGAAAATAGTACAGCTAATAGGCAGAGTACAACTGCCGAAAACGATGCCACTGAAACGAAACACGATGATGGCGACAGCGAACCAAAAAACAACGACGAAAATGACGAAGACGAGGACAGAAATTTTGTTTCATTTCTAAAATCCCAAAGTCTGAAAGGAAACGATGAAAATAGACAAAAAATTGAACAAAGAGAAGAAAGTGAAGAATTTCAAACCAAAGAAAAAGAAGTAGAGGAAACTGCTTCAGTTCACGATGTAAGCGGAAGTGCCGTTTCTATATCTAGATCACAAAAAGATAACACGGGAGAGGGAAGTAGAGTCTCCTTGCAAACCCCAAAAATAAATGATATAAACCGAAGTTGTGGCTCTCTACAGACGTCAGAGAAAAGTCCCAGTAAATGTACTAGTCAAAGTAGTCTTGGAAATCAGGATAAAACAGATCGGAAGTCGATTGAAAGTGAAATAACGAAAGAAAAACAGGAAAATGAAACGGAAGAATTCCCCGTACATGAATTACAATCAAAAGGTGAAGTGAACGGAGATGATAAGAGTGATACCGTATCTAATTCCAAAACCGATATACCGAAAATAATCCATCCAGAAGAGAAGTATGCGGCCGAACTTTCCCATAAAATTGTCGATGAAGCTTTGGAATCTGCAGTGCACATGCAACCCGATTCAGAAACACAGAACACAAATGACATTCAGCAACTCACAGAAATTCTAAAGACAACTTTGAACCCTACAACGACTTCCGAAGACCCTTCCCTGTCCAGCAGTCACGAACATATATCTGATTCCGATGATCAAAATATCAAAATATCAAATCAGGGTCTTATCCATGATTCCTCAGAACATTCCAACAAAGCCAAGAAGATTGGAAAAGAAAATATGGAGGATGAATCCAGTGATAGTTCTGCTGATTAGTAATTTTGGTGCTCAATGATTTGTGTCTTCATGATATTTTATTAGATCTAAATGATATTTTAAACAGGCATTTATCGCATATAATATTCTCGTGATTATATTTAATTTGCTTTATAGCTTGTGGTCATTACTTATATGTAATGGACACTGTGATTTGACGATGATGCATATTTTTATAATTACGGTTCTAGTCCTAGGATTTCTTTATATGTATACATCAGAAAACCATAATGTTCAATTGTTTAATAGGCTTTATACTATCCTACTATTCCTCGTCGACTTAGTATAAACATAAGGAGATGTGGTATGATTGCCAATGAGACAACTATTCATCAGAGTTCAGATGACATGAATGTATTTGTTTTCCTTCCAATCAGTCAAATAAAATAACAACAAGGCTCATTCACAGTCGACGCTGACGCAAATAACTGTTGACAAAATGAAAAGAATAAATATGAAACCGAAAAATGCGTGTCAAATATAATATAAAATAACAAAAAATAAATAACAAAATGGAAAAGGAAAAGTAGTGTCGATTTTCATACTTTTTGTTCCTTCAAAATGCCTATATCTATTATGGTTCAAGTTAGAATTAGTAGGAGCAGTTTTGACTGTCAAATAGATGATAGAGGGGTTTTCTAAGAAATAAGTAATGTGAGACATGCATAAAATTTGCTTACATCCACTTTATTTGAACTTTGGTGGATAGTTGTCTCATTGGCAATCATACCTCATCTCCTTATGTTTATATAAGAAATACTTATTAACATCATTCAAACAGCTTAGCATCAGATGCTTATAAATATCATGTAATCGTGTTGAGTTTGATTGAGCGAAGGTTTTGCAATAACATTAAATGTTAACTATCTAAAAAAAACATTTGTACTGACACAGTTAGTATTGCACTACCGAAAAGAAAAACTAATAACTCCTTATTGTTTTTGATCATATGTAAGCTAGTCCTACCAATAATATGATGCCAAAATATTTGTAACAGTTACTTTGGATGGTTTACACTCAGATTTATCGAATGTAAAAGTATGAGTTGAGAATTAACACAAACTGGCTCGTATAACCTTACAAACAGTTGTATGTATAAGCATAAAAAAGAAAGTATGCAATGTTCTTTTAAACATTAACTCCATTATGTTTTTGCGTTTAAGGTAATTGATCAAAGTTACGTTTTTAGTATTTTGGGATGTATTTGATTCTCCCGTAGAGCATGACTCTCATTATGACAATGCGATTCTCTAATAAAAATCATGCTGTCCGGTAACACAGACAACAATAGAACAATGTTTGGTTCTTTCTGCAGTAATCGTTATCTTTATGTGCAACACTCGACCTTTCTGTGAGCATAGAGAGGCTTATTTTCAATTGTGATAGGCAGATTTTTAGGGTGCATAGTTTATTTTTAGTTGTGTTTGTTCAGTAAATGGAGTTACTGAAAATAGTTACATATAATAATTACAAATTCCAATACTACTGAAAAAAAATTATGAAAGGTTAACTAAAAGAGAGGCGAAAGATACCAAAGATGCATTCAAACTCATAAGTCAAAAATAAACTGACAACGCCATGGCTAAAAAGAAAAAGACCAACAGACAAACAATAGTACACAAAACACAACATAGAAAACTAAAGACTGAGCAACACGAACCCCACCTAAAACAGGGGGTGATATCGGGTGCTCCGGAAGGGTAAGCAGATCCTGCTCCACATGTTGCACCCGTAGCTCATGCTGTCCGGTTACAAAGACAACAATAGAACAATATTACAAACCAGGTAATAAGTCTAATTCGGTAGGTCACATTCGGGGAAAGGGGGATTGGATTGCAGTTACGACAATTGGAACATCCGCTATCATCTGTGAAACGGATATTACATTACGATCAACCAACTCGTGATGGCGTCCGTAAAACTTACGAAGGGATGACTTCAACTTCACCACTTGGAACTCTTGGTTTAATAGCTTCCTTGTGAGCAGCAACCCCTCTATCAAGGACATCATGATAAGAAATGCAAGCCCTGGAATATCGTATCAACTGGGAGATGTATATACTCCGTATGCAGGCGCTGCTGGAATGTTGCTACATGGTTCAACAATTGGGAAGCTGAAATCATCCCTTTTGTCGTAAAGTTTTGTTTTCAACCGGCCCTCATTGTCAATTTCTAGATGTAAGTCAAGATATGAGACTAAACTGTATCTGTTGTATCCTTTATCTCAAGTTCGATGGGATAGATGCGTTCAACATAGTCACCAAATATTGAGTTATTTAGTGAGAAAACATCGTCTTTCTAGCGGAAAGTAAAGTTAAAGGATACTGCTAGCTTCTTTTCTTTCTTCCTAAGAAGTTCCTGTATGAAGTCAGCCTCATATGAATAAAGGAACAAATCGACAAGAAGAGGAGCACAGTTGGTTACCATAGGAATGCCGATTGTAAGATTAAAAACACGTCCTCCAAACGTAACAAATATGTTGTCAATCAAGAAATCAAGCATCTTGATAATGTCAGTTTCAGAGAATTTTTTGTTTGAATCGGAGTACGATTTATCCCTCCCTAAAACAAGATACCATTCTTTTTTATGAAACAAAGCAGGACCAACTTTTTCAATTTGTCTTTAAGTTTGGAATGGGGAATACTTGTGTAAAGTGTAGAAAAGTCAAATGTTTTAATGCTTTTGCAAGATGAAAGAGACTTAGATTTTATGTACTCTAAAAGATCTTTGGAATTTTTTAGCATCCACATCTGATTCACGCCACCTCTAGAATATGTAGCCCGGCTAAATATGCAAATAAATGAAAATTGAAAAATATTTTTTGCTGTATAATGAAATAACACTTCGTACTTCCGACGCACTTTTCTGGATGCACCTGGAACGTTCAAAAGCAAAAATTTGAAAGCCATGATCGCATAAATACATATAAACGTAAGGACCTATACGATCTAAAGTAACATAAAACTTATAGACGAATTCTTCTAAGGTCAACTTTTCTTGAATAACTTTTTAATAAACCAACTGATACAAAAAAAAATAAGTTTTAAAACTTTCAGTTCCGACGCACTGACTGTTGGACTGGTGATGCCCTCGAAGACTAACAGTCCACCAACAGAGGTATTGATCCAGTGCTAGTAAAGGAAAATAACATTTTATAAATTTCGCGCGTCCTAATCGCTTTTCTGGAATTGCCTTCATCAGGAACGCTCATACCCAAACATTTGAAAGCCAGGAATGGCTAAATTCATCGCAACGTTACCGGGTATGAGCTATATGACCTACAGGGACATTTAATGGATATCAAATTCGTCTTAGGTCATCTTTTCCCGATGAAGTTGGTACCTTAATTTCTTGGTAATTATTTCATTTACCAACGGGGACTTTTAGGAAAAAAATATGTCATAAATCATTTCAGTACCGATGCACTGACTATTGGACCGATGATATCCTAGTTATCTAAAAGTTTAAAGTTGTATTCTGCAATAGATGTAAAATGGCATGTAGAGTCAATTATAAAATTGTTACATGAAAAGGTTTTTGCACTAATTCAACGTATTTAGGATGATTACACTTGTACGAAATTGAACCGATCTTTTTTTGAATCGATCTTAAAAAGACCAGTTCGCGTTTACATTTGCACAAGAAAGATCGATCGAGATCGACCTTATTTAATCTAGTGCGTTTACACTGCAACATAAAAAGAACCGGTCTGACCTGATTACTTTACATTTCGTTAACAAATAATCGTAAAAATAGAATAGTATGATAACGTGTGCATCTCGCACGGGCACTGCAAAATCATGGAGAAAATAGTTGGATCATTGGAATTTCGTTTGCAGTTATTAATTATCTTTTTGGTTCGCACGTCACAAGTCATTAAACAAAGAAATGTGAGAAGACTATCAATTAAAAAATGAAAGGTCAATGCGTTTGAAGATGAGGATTTGCAGCAAAGAAATATAATTCAGAAGAATGATCAAACAAGAATGTGTCCATAGTACACGGATGCCCCACTCGCACTATCATTTTCTATGTTCAGTGGACCGTGAAATCGGGGTCAAAACTCTAATTTGGCATTAAAATTAGAAAGATCATATCATAGGAAACATGTGCACTAAGTTTCAAGTTGATTGGACTTCAACTTCATCAAAAACTACCTTGACCAAAAACTTTAACCTGAAGCGGGACAGACGGACGGACGGATGGACGAACGGACGCACAGACCGAAAAACATAATGCCCCTAGGTGGGGCATAAAAACGGCGGAATCTATATTTACTGTTCTTATCCATACCATCGTTTTTAAACAAGTGTGTTTTTGCCGCCGAACATGCGCAGATTTATTTTCATATCTAAATATAAAATTCACTTAAAGAAAGATCGATCGCGATCGATCTAACCGTTAACACTTGAAGAAAGATCGATTCAAATAAGATCGATCTTTTTAAAACCACCCTAGGAGGTGGACTTTTTAAGTCCGATTGAAGATCGATCTTTCCCGTTTACATTAGACTAAAGATCGGTCTTTTTAAGATCGATCTCAAGAAAGATCGATCTTTTTTACAAGTGTAAACGGGTCTTATTGTCTTATTCCAAATAGTGCCTATTGTATTTCAGAATTTTCTTAAAGATATCTTTTAATCATTTCAAATGGATATATAAGAAAGGTTTACGCATTTAAAAAAAAATCAAGGAATCTTCAAAAATCTCTCTCACAGAGATTAATTAAAAGAACAAATCGTCAAATATCAAACCAAAAAAAAAAACAATGACAAATAACAGTAAATATCAAAATGCAAACTTTTAAAAACTTGTCTTTAACATCCAAGCTGCCCAAACACATACTGTTACGGTTTGTAGCCTTGAATGAACACATTTTTAACTAGCTAAAATACCACAACCATACAAAATACATGTATCATAACTACAAAAATAATTATATTCAACAGAACCTGAAGAGTGTAATTCTAAAAACCATTACTTGATGTTTACAATTCATTCTTACAATAATTGCCGTTTAAACTCCATTAGCTAACATTCATGGAACCTACACCAATCAATTCTAGAATATTTATCAACCAAACATGTCCACATGAGACCAAGTTCTATAACTTTATAATATTATTAGCACGTCCAAATATTAAAAGTGTATCAACACACACATTGTCAAAGTGCATAAAAACACACATTGGCATTAGTCTATTGACTGCAAAAAATCTCGGGTTAAAATATTTAACCATAGATCAAGATGTTTAGTATGGCAAGCCGTTCTCGGCAAAACTATGTTTAAACCTTTTTTCGGAAAAATTACACACTGAGAATTAAAAAAACCACACTGAGATTTAAAAACCTAAAATAACACTGAGAAATCGAAATTACACACGGAGATTTTAAACTGATTACACACTGAGATTTAAAAAAATGAAAACACACACTGAGAATTTAAAATTACACACTGAGATTTTAAAAAGACACACTGAGATGAAATAAATTGAAAAACGCACACTGAGAATTGTTAATTACACACTGAGATTTCAAAAAATGAAAAACACACATTGAGAATTTAAAATTACACACTGAGATTTTAAAAAGACACACGGAGATGAAATAAATTGAAAAACACAAACTGAGAATTGTTAATTACACACTGAGATTTCAAAAATAAACACTGCGATTAATATGCGCATTACTAATGAATATTCGTGAGATCGGAATAATTCAACCGATCAATATCTTGGTCTCCCGAACTCTCGTCATTATAATGAAATGCGGTTCCTTCAACCAACATTCGTTATAAATTTCAAGACTTAACATCGTTTTTCGCTAACTCATATTCATAAGTGTGTTGCCTATAATTCAGATTATTACTAAGTGTATCGGGAATTTTTGCTTAAAACTGTTTAAGCATGGGTCCCTTTTCAAAAGTCTTTCAACTGTTACTCTGATTTCGCAAGGTAATCTTTTATATTTTTGTGACGTTTATATGCTATAATAGGCACTTGGGTAAAAACTGCATTGTCTTTTTGCAGATTGTTCCAATGTTTTCTTACAATTCTAATAAAGTTTTTCACAATTTGGTTATATTTTGTAATGAGAGTAAGTGGGTATTTTTCTTGTTCTATTGGTCTTTAATAACGTAGTTTTTCTATACGTTGTATTTCTAATGTTTTTTATAAAACATTTGGCGCCAAATTGAAGGACTAACGAGTTCTGTTCCCTAGTTATTTTAAGCTTGTAATAGATTAAGATTAAGTATGCTAATTAGATATGTGCGCATTAAAAGTGCGCATAAAAATC